GATTACGTTTATACTATTGTACTACGCACAGATCACCAAAATTACAGGTACGTTAAGCAAGCATGGAAAAGTAGTGCCGAAAAGCAAGAGGACAAACGAGTGAACATTATTAAAATGTACATGCATATATACATAGTGAAATGAATGAATCATTGAATCAGTTAAGCAACAAATAGTAAGGCTAGCAGAATGAATATATACATAAGCAGTAAGCAATACTCAAGTGTACATATTCATACAAGTGCAATAATAATAAAGGTATAATGGTATAGGTAAGTTGTTACAGTAGAAATGACTCTATCCGTTAAATAAGTTAACAAAACGGCTTAACCAAATTAAATGTGAACAAACTCAACTGCACGTGAGCTGCTATAAACGATTTGTTATGTGAGATAATCTTAAGCAATAAGATACACACATGTTATGCAATAAAAGAATTTAACAAAATTTAAACTGTTACTATAATCTAGTTATTAAATTAATAAAAGAAACTTGGTAAACGTTTAGTGTTTTATATCATGTGAAATCAATGAAAATGTTAACAATATTGATGAATGAGGTAAGATTCAGCTTTAACATTATGGATCGATGAAATTCACAATTTTGTAGAGATCTATTTCAGAAAGTTTGCAACATGAAGTTACAGTAATTGAAAAACTATTGAAAACTAGGAAGTGAAATAGAGCTGAAGATTATCATGCCTCTTGGTGGGTATAATTGTTTAGAATATACTAAGCTGGATAGAATCCAGTATTATAGATTTAGAATTTCAGTCAATTTATGGTTTATAGCGATAATTATTTAATTTAGTCAGTATTATCTGTCTCAGACACAAATTGACTAGACTCCATCAGCCACAATTTCTCACTGAAATCTTGGTAGTTCATCTAGAAGTTGTGACTAGTGAGGCTCAACCAAGTTGGATGTGAGTTGTTTATCACCGAAGTAAGATGAAAAAAAAGTATTCAATGCTACTTGATGATTAGTAGTACACTACTGGTATTCAGTTATGATGCAAACAATCTTTAAATAGAAACATTGTTTACAATGAAAGATTCATTTTAGTCACATTAACTGGAACTGAATGATCTCATTCTAATCGAATTGAAATCCTGTAGTAGATGTTCATTTTGGTTTACACTTATTATCATCAAATCCATTAATAGGATACTTTGAATCTAAACACACTGATTAAGTGAATTTAAATATAATACATTTATAATTCAATCATACGTTACGATACGATATGTGAGAATCAGGAGCAATAGTTAGGTTTTATTTTCACTAAAGTGTGAATAACCTACGAAATTCGTACTAAATGTTCACTTATATGTTAAATGTTTGTAGTATTACAAGTAAAATATTACGAATATTTTATTTTGTGGGCATTGAAAGAAAAAAAATTAAATGTTTAAATAATGTTGTTGTCTGCTTCTGTTTTCATAATACAAAAATGGACAGAACAGATTATCACAAATTCTTCAGTCACATTTCCACGAAAAAATATTGAAAATAACACCTTAAAATGCACAGACCACATAATTATGGACCGTAGTGATCGATATCATATTATACTTCGAAACACCGATTTTCAGTCAGCATAATAGCACAGCCAATAATTAGTTTATATTTGTATGAAAGAACCAACCAATATGTTCGTGACTTAATTATGATCAGCACCTTCCTAGATTTCTCACAATGGTCTTACAGCAAAAACTATTTCCTATGTTACCTAGTATTTCATATGGAAGTATCTGATCAACACTTCCTCCATAGAATAAGCACAACAGCTATTTCTTTTATATTTATTAATCCAACTGAGACTGTAGAGTAAGTGGCATGAGCCGATGACCCAGGAAACTACATTTTCGTGTCTATAAACAGCTCCAAGTCCAGATAAGTAAATGAATAGTTAAGAATGCAAACAACTCGACCTTAGCACATTTAGTTCAAACAGACCAAAAATGTTGCATGGACAAGTTACTCCTAATAATCTCCTAAAGGCGATTAGGCTCAAACTCCTTCAAATGGCATAATAGTCATAGAAAGTGGAAATACCGGAGTTATGTAGATGTATGTTCTGTCGCTTCTCTTACCTTGGTAAGTCTCAAAACACAATTATGAGATAATCGAATTTGCAAACGTTTATGTCTTATCCTTGGTTAAATGGTCACTACACACACTCTCTACTTGAAATAGTAGCATGATCATCTTTAAAAACGTAGTGATTTAGACAACAAACATTTATGATGTGGCGAAAAGGAGTTAAGTGTGGTAATCAAGTGTTTACTTTATTGACTAATCCATACCATACAGACCGTTAATCTACAAACACACGAAATCCAAGTCACATGGATCGAACATGAAATTAGAACAATAACAGACTAACAATGCACAAGAAGTTGGGTACACACGCTATTCAGGACCAAAACCTACTGAAGGACTCGCGCTGCATGAAAAATAGGGGAAACACACGTTTGTTCCGTTTCCAGTAAAATAGCTAACAAATTGATATTTCATCATCAATTCACCCCTAAAAATCAAGTCGTCCTGCTATAAAAAAAGACATTTTGGTAGTCTTTTCATATCAGTGTTACCAACATAGCGACACAACCAGTCTATTTCATCCTACATACATTGAAGGTAGACAAGTAAACGTCCACTCCATTGGAAACATGGACCAGCGGTGAAATATAATATATTACCACTTATACCAATCCACATACGTAAATATGAACACAAATCAGGTTAGGTAAACGTAAAAATTATGAATTAAGGAAGTTCCGAGAATGAAAGACAGTTGTTAAAGCGTCTTAGGTTTTTAAGCGATGGTGGAAGTTTACATGAATGTAAGGTTTTACAAACTGACGTGGGAAACAGCCCGACGTGAGACATTCTCCATAAAACTTGACCCTTGTAACTTCTCTTGATATTCTGCAACGTGCGTTGCAGAATATCAACAGTTGTTAAAGTCGTAGTGTCGGTTAAGCCCACATAGCTTACTCTAGCTTCCGGACAAGCCAGTCTATTCACTATTCTTGAGTCACATTTTGACCTTGTTAATTACAAGCTTATCAACCTTGACTGTTTTTATGAGTGTACGTGTGAGCACATCTTATCATATTCATCACATGTCTGTAACTTATTTTTGTTCGGCTATAAACATTGATTAATGCTTGATTAGAGTTGGCTTACGTGCCTTCCTCACTGCGCGTTATTTCATTTTGCTTCGCTCTCCTCTTCGTTCCTCCGATTGTCTGTCCAGATCAAAGTGTAAAAAAACATGTATTCGAATTCCATTCTCATATTTATTTAATTTCGTTATTCACTAACGCGAATTAAGTCGATAATTCTATACGACGATTGACAATATGTATGTCTCAATATCAATCACTGGAGTCAGATCCCGGGCCACTAAAACCTCACCCTCGTATATAGGAGGATTGCGTATTAGTATTAGATACGGACACTGCAAGTCACAATATTTTCAACTAATTATTCCTGAAAAGCTTAACAAACAAAATGCCTTAACCACTTTTATACAAGACATTCAAGGTAATTTTAAATAATATCCACTACAGCAGTAGCTCATTCTAATTGAAATAAACACAAGTTACTATTACAAACCACTGTTGCATTAAAGAAAAGACAAATGTATGAAAAGAGAAAAGAAATAAGCTCAGTAAATTGATACACAAGCGCTAATCAATCATCCAACTTAAGAATGCAAATGTTACAAGTAAAGTAATAATATTAAAAATAGTAATGATAAAAGTAGTAACATGTTGCAATACTAGTGATAGCAATAACAATGACGAGTCTAACAACAAGCGGTATCATATGCAATTAATAGTTGCATAACCAATTAAGACTAAATAATAAATAGTATACGTATATATTATATTTGTACAAAATTTTATCACAGTAGAGATAAAGAAGAATGAGAAATGCAAGTTCATGACTAGTAAAATTAGTATTTTTACCTAAGATATTCTAAATCATAGAATATCAGTAAGAAGATAATATATACTTATGGAAACTACATACTTCGTAAGAATAGTGTGTAAAAGAGATGAAATGAAAAAGCACACAATGAATGTTATACATGTGTGCATACATACAAATGGAAATAATCCCTGGAAAGTATGAAAGTTTTTTGTTTTGTATATTGTATTGTTTGAACAAGTAATAGATAGAATTGAACTTTTAAAAGAAGATAAAACATTAATATTGCATGCATATATAAGAATAGTGTCTTTTCCTTAAATTAAAAAAAACGAAGTCAAGTTAGCGAAAAAGAGAGAACTAGATAGAAACAAATTACTGTAAATAAGTAAGTAAATAAACAAATAAGTTAATAATTATTCTAAGTAAATAGATAAGTGATATATATATATATATATATATATATATATATATATATATATATATATATATATATATATATATATATATGCAATTCACTAGGGACGGTGCTTTTTATTGTGATACAACTTTCAAGAGAATAGGGCAATCCAAAAGAAAATTGAATTGACACAACAAGTAACATTCACAGTGATAGAGAGAAATTAGTTTATGGGGGTAGTGTAGATGTTAAGAGAGATATCATGCATTAATTTCACTCTTGGAATGATTATATTTATGTACATATGTCTAGATAGCTATCTGCATACATATGCAGACTTACAATTATATGATCAAGTTAAAAGTAAATGAAAGTAGACAAACTAATAAATGCATCATTACAAGGATATTCTGACAATAGAACAGAACGCTGAAACTTAAGTAAAAAAAGGTTACTATTATTCATATTATATGGTGTATCAAGGAATAAAAGAATGTAAGTATTGAGATATGTTTTCCTTTTTTCGCACACAAAGTATACAAGCAAAAAAAAGATTTGATAAGATCATTTACTATGAATTTCGTGAACACAGAAACGATTGTGAAATATATATATAACTTCTTGATCTTCCATTACGACTAAAAACTCAGGAAATTTACGGCGTATGTGAAGTCATGAGTAGGCTATTAAGTGGTACTGTACAACAGTAAGCAGGTACAGATTTGGAGCGATGCATAACTTTACGAGTAGATGCACATTTAAATTCGTTTTGCCAAGGTGACCAATGAATATCAGCTTTTTGTTCGACAGTTGGTCGGTGATCAGCACTAACAATAGACGATCTACAAGATGGTATAAATATACTATGATGAGGAGTTGATGAAGTAGGTTGAGGTGTATCTGTTCGATCATTTTGCACATTAGAAGATATAGGTGTATTTAATACACGACCATTAACCACATATAAACCCTGAGAATGCCGTTTGCGTAGACGGTGTTGGCGATAAAGCCGGTGACATTTTGCACAAATAATACATGGCACAGCAACCATGATAAATGGAGCAGCAACCAGTAATAAAATCGTTAATCCAGTAAATACACTGACAACCTGATTTTAGGTGTAAACAAAATACATAAATAAACAAGATAATAGTCTAACAATAGGTGAAAGAAGACTAGTATAATTTACCGTTACTCACAACAAATCAATCGAAAAAATTACTGGCTTTACAAAAAGAATCAATCGTAATTGGATAAGTAATGAAATCAAGAAGAGGGATAAGTTGATGCCTGTACCCACCTTTTCATGTTATGTAATGTAACTTTGGAGTTAGACTCAAACTTATTGAAACCGCTAACTAGGATGACATATGCTCAAATTAGATGTTTGTCTATATCAGATTTATGCAGTCACAACTTTAAAGACAATGAGTAGAAGACTTTGAACCTGAGTTTGACACTGGTTTGGACTTATCAGTAAAGGATATTTACAATAGTGTGAGAAGTGATGTTTAACTAAGACATTTGAACATGTCACTAACTGGGTTATTTGAGCCGTTTACCGTCAGAAAAAAAAGCTTAGGCTAGTAGAATATTGCAACATAAAGGTGGAAGCCCTCACTAAAAAAACACAAACTTATTACCATAAAATCATTCCGTCAAGCACATAAAACTGAAAATATTTTAAAAATCAAATTGTAACTATGCCTATAAGTCGAAGGTAAATATGAAAGATTTCACACAGCAGTAATAACCTATGGAATGAAACCTGACGTCAATTTGATAAATTAAAAAATACCGAAATGCTATCATTCTATACAATAGTTTAGTAGTAAAGTAGAATTGCTGTGAAAATATACAAACCTTGATCGTTATAAATGCTTTTCAGTGTTATTAAGTCATACGTTCAAACTCTGGTCATTCAATTCAACCTGAGAAACCGCATAGCACCATTAACCATTACATAAAATTTATACCTTAAAGACAAGTGTGTAAACATGTATATGTAATCCTACTTACAAAAGTTAGACAAGTTAGTCAGTCGCAAGCAATGTAAGACCTGGCACAAATATACATCACGCGAAGTTGCCACACCAAGTTAGTAAAACGAGATATCAACAAAGACATATCAAAGAAGTCAAAATAATAGCGCCATTTTTGTTAATTTGTAAAGAAATAAAATCAAGAAATAAAAAAGAGATTAACTAGTATTACTACTCACGATTTATGAGAAGATGAAGAAAAAATTTATGTTGATGTGGTCGACTTTGAGCCATATTGCCTGACGTCACCAAATCACTAATCATGACTATCACGTGAATCATGATATGGAAGTGTGTACCTCGTTAAAAGGCTTAAACCAATACACTAGTATACTATTTAATCTGTTATAATCTCTTTCTTATGGTATGACCCAGCTATTCCTATTGCTTAGTATTCTTGGACACCGATTAACTCGACAAGTCCCCAAATCAGAACACGGTTGAACAGGAAAGAGATTATATTCCAAATAACAAGGTCAGATGGAAGCAAGAAGCAAGTAAGAAGTGCAATAGGGAAAACGCTAGTATATTTATAGCTTTTCACATGAGATTTATAGCGTTCACTAAGTATCGCCTAACGCTGATTGGCTAATTCTTACCCAATCAGCGTGCACCAAAGCAATCGTGCATTGAGCATACTTTAATCTAGTCTATGTCCCGCTAACATAATCATTCGAACCAAAATAGACCATATGTCTAAGATTGAAAACACTGACTGAAAGTTGAATACACAAAGATTACACTCAGGTCTAGGTGGAATAGTTTTTGATCCATAATTGAATGATTAAGTATTTTCCTCACTAATTGGCAAGTTTAAAAGCATGTATAAGCAAGGTAGTATTGGATATTTATCAACTTCTGATGAAAAATAAAATTGTTATTTATGATGGACAATCGCATAGTCAAATAACCATTTATCTCAATATTTTATTAATTGAAAGATTTGATGTGATAATGATTTTTAATTGAAATCATCAAGTTTTTACCAAATCTTTATAAATAGAAATTTTTATTTTAAAAAGACGAACACTCAGAAGTGATAAATATAACTTGATAAGTGAACGACGGGACTGAGGTTACCAGCGGTACCCAAGCATTCTCAGCCATTTTTCCGTTTATTTAGTGGTCAAACTCTGTAAACAAGAGTGTGATTTTCACTGAAGATTTGATTTTAGGCTTTAACTCTCACCCCATCCTGCACATTGAAATGTGGTAAACTGATATGTTCACCGTAAACAGATGTGGATAAACTCAGACGCTTAAGATGAAATCTCCAATGAAGACTACACTCTTAAATGTATCACTTACCCACTGGATGAATGGAAAAATACCTGAAAATGTTAGATATTGAACACTTACTGAATGTTGAAAAACAGATGGATAATATGAACCAATGAAAGTGATGATTTACAACGATTACATAAAATTCAACTTTTTTTCTACGAAATTCCTAAATCTTGCCAAACGAAATGAGATCAAAAATTGTTAATTAAAGCGTTTGATTTAATGAAAGCATACTTAATCAATGCATAGCAAAACCGCAACAGATAACAGTATTTCCAATTAAGGAAATTGTGAAGAATATAACCAACATTTTTTTACACTAAAATAACTTACATAAACTCGATGACCAATTACTGATGCACGAGAATGACCAAGTTTTCCTTTACAGGCCCCGTCATCATAATGTTGAAGAAGGAAATCATCCTGGAAAATAAAGTATCAGTGAAAAAAATTTCCAATAAATTACACTGACAAAGCAATAATTGATAAATATGACAAATAATTTCCATTAGAACATTAAGAAACATGAAGTTCAGTGAAGGGATTACTAAGTTAACAAAGGATTATAATGTGTATGGAGTAAGACAATTAAAATGTAAATTAAGGGAATATCGAAGAAATCTACACAGAATGAACATATACCAATAAGAGACTGATCAATTGAAGTCCATAACATCAATGGGAAGATTCAAACAAACAATACAAAAATGAATTATTAATATATACGACTGTACAGTTTGATGATAAATTCGTTGAAAAGAGCCCCATTCTCTGAACTTCATGTTTTTTAAATAATGACAAAATCGTATAAAATCCATGATCTATGAAATATTGTCATTTGAATAAAATAAATGAAAGTTACTGTGAGAAATTTTAAAATACTATAAAAAGATACTATTTGAATTTTATTTTCATTTTATATTCATTGACAGTACTCATGAGCACTGATAATATAATTTCTAGTCTAAGTTCCAATTGTCTTGTGTAATGCAACTATTTATTGACGGGATTTCTATCATGGTTTGAGGTCACATGGAAAATTATTTACTTTATTTAGTTACTACTGCCAAAAGAAAATTGTTTAGAAAATAAAAAACCGGGATTTAAATCTTCAATCACTCTCACTGTATTTCTACTCATAAATGTTAAGTTATGGGATAACTTGTTTATTTTTATGACATAGGTGATCGTTTATTGTGTAAGCTTACAGTTTTAAATGAACTTCATCTATACATAAATGAAAAGCAATTTCATGTTTTACAAAATAATGTAGAAAAATTATAGGCGGTTTGAACAATAATAACACCACCAATAGCTCTTCTAGAGATACTGCCGGATCCAAGCATGGGTAAAGGAGAAGAGTTGGACTTCGGGACGGCAACGCCAGCACATAGAAAAAATTCCTGTTAAAAAAAGCTAACCACATTAGACAAATTAAACCATTTAGCCTCTGTCCTCTGAGTTGAAAGAAAAATTATGACGCCACATGATGAAAGCCGATATTCTTGAGAAGTCACGAGGCCAATAACCCTTTTAACAACCAGAATAACGACTAATATAGGTACATAAAATATCCGAACAATGTAGAAAACCAGACTTTACTTACTTTCGCCTGTTAATTCTAATGGAGCATAGGCCACCGACCAGCATTCTCCAACACACTCTGCTCTGGGCCTTCCCTTCTAGTTCTATCCAATTTTTGTTCATTCTTTTCATATCTGTCTTCATTTCTCAACGTAATATAATCCTTTGTCTCTCACTTCTCCTTTAGCCTTAAGGATTCCAAGTGAGGGCTTGTCTTGTGACGCAGTTTGGCATTTTCCTCAGTGTGTGTCCTATCCACTTCCAGAGCTCCTTCCTGATTTCTTCCTCCGCTGGAATCTGGTTTCTTCCCTCCCATAGTAGATTGTTGCTGATGATGCATGGCCAACGAATCTGAGGTATTTTTTATAGACAACTGTTGATAAATACCTGTATCTTCTGGATGATGGCTTTCGTAATTCTCCAGGTTTCCGCCCCAGTAGATAGTAGAACTGTCTTGACATTTGTATTAAAAATCCTGACCTTGGTGTTGGTTGACAGTTGCTTTGAGTTCCAGATTTTCTTCAATTGTAAATGTGCTGCTCTTGCTTTTCCAATTCACGGCTTCACATCTGCATCAGATCCACTGTGTTCATCAATGATGCCGCCCAGATATGTAAAGGTTTTTACATCTCCCAAAGCTTTTCCGTCAAGTGCGATTCGATTGGTGCATGCTGTATTGTGTCGGAAAATCTTGCTTTTCCCTTTGTGTATGTTGAGACCTACTGCTGTTAAGGATGCTGCTACGCTGGTTGTTGCTTCCCCCCAGAAACCAAAAGAACAAATCAAATAGATGTCGAAATGAAGAGATAGATTAGAGAGAGATCATGCTGCACTCTGGTCACTAACACGGAAATGCCCCAAACACTCACACAGTTGCTCTGATGCTATACAAAGAAGCATGTAAACCACTTATAGGATGGGAATCTCATGCATCCACAGTCACCAAACCACTATTCAAAACAACGAATAAGACTATCACAACCAAAGTTATCAAATGTTATGCACCCACCAATGATAGTAGTCAACATGATAAAGATCAGTTCTATGAGTGCTTGCAAACAACCATAGTGAAATGATCAGGAAACGACCTGAACATTCTCATGGCACACCTAAACTCCAAAGTCGGAATACACAACACCGGCTATCAAGATATCATCGGACGACATGAACTCACTAGGAGAAACGAATGAAAATAGTGACAGATTTGCAGATTTATGTGCATCCAACAAAATCTTTATAGATGATACAATACTCCCACACAAAGCTACACCGGTCTCATCAAATCACACTATACAGAATCAGATCCATCATATTCGCATCACTAAAAAAATTCACAAGATGCACGAAGACGTGAGAACCAGGAGAGCAGCTCATATGGATTCAAATCACCACCAACTGGTGGTTGCCAACATGAAACTGAAGCTAAAGAAGTACTCGACAACTGCAGAAACAGCATCACAAAGGTTCAATACACACTTCCTTCGACATACTGACAACTCAATCAATTCAAGATAACTCTCAACAACAGCTCCCAAGTCCTACAACACATACTCAAACAAGAAAAAACTACTACGGAAAACAACTGGAAAGAAATACCAACACAATCATATTTGATGGAGAAACTCTGTAAGTGGTGAAAACTTTCATATACCTGAACAGCAGCATCATCGATGAACGAGGAGGATCTGATGCAGACGTAAAGAAAAGCATTGGCAAACAAACAACAGCATTCATACACTTCAACAACATATCCAACTAAAAACAACTCTCTGTCAACCAATATCAAAGTCACAAGATTCAGTACGAACGTAAAAACAATTCTACTGGACAGAGATGAAACTTATAGAACTAATACAACCACCATCGAAATAGTACGAGTATTTATAATCAATTGTCTACTCAAAATACTCAATGTCCCTTGTTCACCAGATACCATCAGCAACCGCCTTCTGTGGCAGAGAACAAATCACCGTCCAGTTGAAGAGAAAATTAGGAAAAGACAATGGAAGTGGATAAGACATATATTGTGGAAATCATCAAACTGCATCACAAGGCATACACCATACACCAACTTGGAATCGTGAAGGGAAACGGAAAAGAGGGAGACTAAAGAACGCAATGCGTCAAGAACTGGAAACAGACATGAAAAGGATTAATAGAAATTAGAAACAATAGGGAAGGATTGTCCAAGACAGAGTTGGATGGAGAATACTGGTGAGCGGCCTATGCTCCTCCATGAGGGTTAACAGGCGTAAGTAAGTGAAATTATGTTTGAGACAAAATGCAACAATATCCTACGTAGAAGTAACTGTTACGTTTATTATAATTCTAAACGGTAAACTATTCATAATTGGTATTTGTTTTTTCTAAACTCCGAAACTTTCATGAATGTGATTGGACTCATTCGTAACATTAACTTGATCGCTTCAATATACAATCAGTACATTAGGTTCGTTGTAAGAGTTAATATTACCATGAACCAATCGTAATCATCAACACTTTTTACTTTAATTCCTAGGTTTAAATAACATTGATAATGAATTTCCAGTACTTGTCCTATATCTTTATTCACTGTGATAGATTCATGAGAAAATAAGCATACTTGTGCTAATTATTCAAAAACGTTTTCAAATCGAAACAGATATCCATGACACTAGTTATGAAAAGCAAGCACAGTTATTTCAAATTTAAACAATTAAAGCAGTACCAGGCCTACATATATGTAAGTGCAGATCGAACTCAGTCAAAAGTTAAATGACCAGCGTAACAATATTATTTTATGAAATGTACTTACATCCAATGAAGTCAAACAATACCAGCAAAAGGTATGTTTGCATGACCGGCACATCATTTGAGCGCAACCTTCGATACGTTCAATAGGGACTAGGCAGGCAGGACAACGTTTCAGCCAGTCATCAGGAGAATATGGAGGAAACCCAACAGCAAGAACGGAGACATCAATTGTATCACTGATATCCTGATTGGAAAGATGAATACCTGCATGACTCTGTAAATAATTACGCCGTTTTCTTTTGGATCGCCGGAGTGAGACTTTATTTATTTTGTTTTTCTCTGGAGGTTTTCTCAAGGATGGTAATGACTTGATGATTTCTGGATTTTGCGTTACAGACTGTGACTGGTGTTTCTGAAATATAATAGGATCTGGTTCTGAATGAGGATTAATATGATCCGAGGCATTTACATTTTCCTCCAAAATTCCAAGTAAATTTTGTTGACTAGTAAATTGAGTGCTTAAATTTTTATTTCCCTTGACAACGTTACGAGGATATTCTTCACACACATACGGTCCAATTCCGATGTGCCAGTTTAAATGACATCGAGCACAAAATTCATGAGAACACTGTTTGCATACGACGCGTACAGCTGGGCGACCAGGACTCACTTGACACATCAACGTTCTTTTTTCAGAAATATGGAGTAAATCCTTCTCTCCAGCACCTTCACTGGTGGGTGTCTACAGAAAGAAAATGTTAACAGCTGTGAAATAAATGCAGAATTTTTCAAATTTTGAAATTACGGATTCTTTCCATCATGCAAACAGCTTTTACAACTTCGTAAATTGGTGTTAAATTATGGGAAATAACCAAACAAACAATAAACTTTAAAACTATGGTAAAAAAGAGGTTACTTGCCAACACTGAATACACAATACAACTAAATAACCATAGCATGAGACACATTTATCGTAAGGCATTACCATTATAATAAGTGAGATATGAGAACTTTCACAGAGTGCAACTTAATCAAACATGATATCCAATTGAATACATAACCGACAATATTACGCGAAATACCACATCGCAGAAACTAAAAACTCAATGTCCTATAAATATGTAGTTTAGTGATAGAATAACAACCCAACGTTTCACGTACCAAAACCAAAAAATTGCACAAAACAAACAGGAAATAGCACAATTAGTTCACTAAATCAAGTTGAATAACGAAATAATGCTTACCGTTACACAATCTTCTTTGTCTTCATCCCTGAGATTACTGATAGGCTTGTAATATGCGTTATTTGGAATTTTTAATGTGTCATCGGCATGAAAACTCGTACTTTTGGTGCTGGGAGAAACATGAGTGGTATCTCCTTGTGAACTGCAAAGATATCTTCTGTACCATCTAGTAAACCGTTCCAAAGCATGTTTATTACTTCTGGTGGATGGGTTTATTCCATTTCGTACGGGTACTTTTAAAATAGAAGGAACTTGGCACACAGCACCACAATTTACTGCTGGGCAAAATGTTAGGTTTACATTCTGCTCGATTTCTGAATATTTATGTTACAGTTGGGAAAAATGGACAACAAACTGACCTCGCTGAAGCTTCTTTACAGAAAAACGTTCGTAAACGTCAGAAGGCAGTAATTCTCTTATCTAGAGTAATAGAAATGTGGATAACTGAAACATCCTACCTCTGAGTCTGTCAAATGACCACTTTGACTACATGGATAACTTGGACAAGCACAGTTAACATCAACTCGATCTCGTAATACTGTAACAACATACGTTTTCAAGCACTATGAAGTAAAAATACTTAGAGTTAACGCAAGCTTTGATATGAATATACTCTCGATTGATAAGTAAACAGTTATAATAATGGAAGCTTTGTAAAGCTCCCAAAACACTTAGATTTTACGACTTTTAAAAGTCGTTCAAATACACAGTTGAATAGTAAACTTCAATGTAGCAGGAATTGATGCTGCTATAAAACGATCTTAATTTACCGTTATAAAGGGTTTGTTTAATGAATGTCATCAGTATATAAATCGGTTATGTAAGGTCTAAAAGAATGATTTGCATAATCCACATTTTTTGCGAAGCCAGAGCAGCATATCCTTTTTTTGTTCACTCTCCACCGAACGCTTGAACAGCGCTGTAAATATTATGGTAACGATAGATCTTTATAATAAGGCTTTCGACTTCCCAAAAAGGATTGTCTGTTGAACGAGGAAGTCCAAAAAAATTGTTACCTTAGTGAAAGCTCATCACGAAAGCTGTGAAAACATAACATGAGAAAATAACATTCTTTCCAACTATTTGAACCAGCAGCATTTTTTCACAGGATTGCTTAGTCTTACCATAATTCCACGATTAGGTGAGTGAAGCCCGAGGAATCATGGGATTCAGTGGTCTAAAACGCTATCTGATCTAGCTTAGAATAAATGTCAGTGGTTACTCCATTGAATTCCTCGTAAAAAGATGTTTCCTTTGAAGGGAAGTAATTAATCCCGGTTTTGCTATAACTTGAAGCATATTGTTCGGTGCGTACTGCTCCTGTTATTTATTGATTGTATGACTTTATCTTTTTAATTAAAAGTGATGTAATTTCGTCTGGGTGGTACAGTTCCAAATGCCCTACTGCACCAAGACTTCTTGTTCGGTAACGGAAATGAGTAGTACGATATACAGTGATACCATCGATAAAAATGGTACGATATGTAGACCAGATCACATGACGGAAAATCAAATCCGTACAATATATGCATACAGCTGCACAACTGGTTTATCGACAAATTGGTTTGAACATTCGAGTGAAGCATATTTCTTTTATCATACTTTATGAAAACACTGAGAAGTACTTGAGGCTAAAATCCATAGACTTCGCAAGACGTAAACATTCAAATATCGTATTGTACAGCTGTCTAAAGCTAAGGGTATGTTAAAGCTTAATATATCCACCATACTCGAGTCAACCGAAAATCGGGTATTACTTAAGTCAAAACCTCGGTCACAGCATAACTTACACCTGTCCAATCGTCCCTTCAGGCGGAAGAGAAATCCAATGCCCTGGTCACTAGCAATACATATCATGTTTTTACAACAATACACTAATCAAAATATTTATGTGAAACAAACACCTAATTTTCGCATGCTTCGAATCATAATTAAATTCTTTTTTGAACAGAAATCCGTAAGGACTAAAATATGTGCTAAATAGTAAAATCACTACGAAAAATAGGAAGGTGAAGAGAGATGGCAAAAAACTACCTAGGGATATGATCTAAACTTTACTGAGGTTTTTGTGTCAGTTTGTTGCCTTGCTATATATGCAGTAGTGGAAAACGATTCAGTCGCTTAGCTTTGATTACAAGCAATAAGTGGGGACGTCTTAAATGCACGACAATAAAAATCCTCCTAATATGGTCGCTGAGCACCTACAGACGTTGACTTAAAGTATTTTTCGCTCGAAAATAGCATACCCGAAGAATTCTTTTCTTTTACTCAGTTTCAGAGGCAGATACATTCAAAAAAGAAAAAAGCTAGAGTGATACATGTAATGTTATCTTGATAAGTATTAGCCAGATGAATAATAATATACTAAAAACGGTAACAAACCATAATACTTTTTTTAAACAAACGCGAATACCAAGATGATTCTTAAGTGGTTAGCAATATATATACAAGGTGATTTTCACACTACGTTTGAGTAGCAGTTTATTGTTATCAACTAATATGGTCCGGTTGCAATCACTGAAACCTAAACAACTTGGAAAATACGCCCGTGTTTGAAGCCAAGAGATTTAGGTTAATCCTCTGAAAGAGTACCAACTTTAAACCCTCTCCTAAGAACAACTAATAAAAATGTAGTTACGCAAGTCTAAATCGTGATTGTAAGTAACAGAATCACAGTGACAAAGTCAAGAAGTATTAGTGGGGTTTTTACCAAGCTACTAGGCGTTATAATATCTATATTATGCGAATGTCTTCGGATTTTCGAATAGTTTCTATGTATTATACGTCAAATGTTCATTTAACTCACCTCAACTAGCCACTTCTAAGGCCTTGTGAGGAATGTGCTGAGCAGTAATAAGCTCTTCGTTTACTAGGTACTTGAGCTACACTGTATCTAGCAGTCTAACTATTTCATATATTCAAGCATTTTGTTTGTAGATAAACTGACTGAACGCCTGAGTAATTGCCTACAGAAACTTAACAATACCTTTGCTGACCGAAAAATCTTAAACATACATATGTATAAAACAAAACGACTATTTGGCTCTGGTCTAATACACTACATAATAAGTTTTCATTTACAGCCAAATAAACTAACCTGACGGCAAAAAGAACACCCGCAAGCAGAAAGAAATAACATGTTTTCATATGGCACTGCATCAAAGCAAATATTACAGTGTCCATACTCAGTCCCTATCATTCTGAGGACTAACCTTGACCGACCGCCATCAGATGAAATCGCGCAAGTTTGGCGGCTATGTGACCTTAGTTCAAACGGTTCAAATGGTTCTGGATGGAATAGAAGCTTTCAATTAACGGGCTTCCGCATCTAGAAGCAGTGGGTCATCGATGCCTCCAGGTAGGAACCTAGGCATATGAACGATAAAAGAGGAAAAGGAAAAAAGTTGATACTGCCCTTAGTCCTTAAGGATATGTCGCTTTTTCTCATAATGGACTCTTAGAAAGTCGCTCGAGCTAACTCATCTGGTAGCGACTTCCGGCATTTGACTTCCCTTAAGGAGTAGAAGGTGTGCCTACAGTCCGTTCTGCCATATTGTGTCTCAAGTTTCTAGGTATTACCCCTAAGGTTTGTGTTGAGACTAAGCTTGAGAAGTTGTTTAAATCGATGTTCAGAAGTGTTTAGGATGCTATACGTCATAAGAAGATAACCTTTAAGACGCTAGTACTCTAATGGGTAAAGGTTTAGTGATTGGATGCGCTCTTCATAAGACTTGAATTTGAGTACCCGAACTGATTTTGTGGGTGGCCTTTGGGAACATTCTGGTGTGTCGTTATCATTTTGGAGTAAGTACACACTAAATTTCCATACCCTACATGAAATATGATGAAACAGTTGAAGACTAAGTGGAAATTTTTCCTGTCGAACTGGTCAAAAGTGAAATTCGACGTTACTAATGCAGGGTTTGCTCGGAAGACATTTTGTTGCAACTAACGTGAGACTTCAAACCAAAGGGTACCAATACTCCTCGATCTTTTCAACTTGGAACACTTCCAGAGAGGATTTTCTTGATTTGTATCTGGAATGGGCTGCCTTACACTTTGAAGTGCTAATGGTAAGTCCGATGTTGTCTGCCCAAATTCGAAGTCGTGTCAGATCCTTCTGAAGTGCCAGTCTATTCTCTTTGTTGCAGACTTCTCTCCAGAGTTTCACACCGTCAGCAAAAAGAAATAAATCAGGCGATACATGCTGTGGAGGATCGTTTACGTATATTAAGAACCCTGGTGAATCCCAACAGGTCATTCTATGGTCTGAGAGTATGTGAAATTAACCCTACCTTGAAATGTCGGTTTTTTAGATATAAAGTGAAGTGATCAATCAGTGGTGCTTGGACGCTTGATCGTTTGAGCTAGTTGATAAGATATATATGGTTGATCCAACCAAAAACTCTTGAGAATTCATAGTGTGTTACGTCAGCCTTATTCTTGAGAGTTAAGGATAGTTATCCATCCGTCCACCGCTGTCAGCAGGTTGATTGTGCAAGAACAATCTTTTCTGAAGCCGTGTTGCTGGAGTGAAAAGACGTTTGTGGATAGTAAGTAGTCGCGTAGAATTTCCAATATCAAGAACTCCACAATTTTTAAGGGTATAGAGTGGAGTGCTAACAGTCGGTAGGCTTGAGGTTCATTGAATCGACCCTCCTTGAAAATTGGTGTAATGTGGGCCAGCTTCCAATTTTCTGATAATATGCCTGAGCTAAGCGGTTTCGCCAAAGCTGAAGCTGCTTCCCTCAGTATAGCGGAGTCGTCCAGGAGAAATGTACTTGTTTTGGCGCTGAAGTTTCCGATGCACCAAGTCAGCGCCCAGGTTCACTTTTGAGAGTCCTATTGAGTTGCATATGAAGCTCTCAGTATAGATACAGCTGGTTAATTGAAATTTCCGGGAGTGACGTTCTCCCAGAAGGTCAGCGGCGTCACCGTTGTTGATTGGGCCATTAGTAAGCAGGATCGCAGGTACGTGGTTACACCACCTCCATTCCTCTTTTTCTGTCGTTTTGAAACAAAGACATCTCGGATAATGCTAGCTCCTGGTTCGTTATTTGAGATATCCCTGTTCCAGATATTCCTATCAGATGGTATTATCAGCACTACTGAGTTCACGCAGCTTATCCATTTTGTTTGGTAAAATCACGGCGTCCATATACAAGTAGTTTATCTTTCCAGTTTAAAATCCGTGAGTTTCTCCGTCCTGCTTATCTGTATTAGGCTTATGTGAATGGACAATAAACCTACTTACACAGGGTTTTCCGAGTTGGTAGCCCTTTTATTTTCTACGTTTTTCATGGTCGCGACAGTCCACAAGTAGAACAGTCAGCTACAATTTGCTTTTCTGCTTGATCCTGACATCATATGGCCTCTCAGGGTGCATGTGGATTCCTGTTGGCAGCTGACGTCTGTTAGCACGAAAAGCTTCAAGAGTAGTGACGGCCATATAGGCGGACGGGAACGTTATATTTAATAAACGCGGCCTAGAACCTCCGTTTAAGTGCATGACCTTGAACTCACGTGTTGAGTTGCTCATTGTGCAACGTGGTTAAAATAATCATGTATGGTGTTTTTAATAGGTTCTATTTTTCTTTCTATTGCAGCGCGACCAAGGATAAATGCTTAGGAAGAAGAAGAGCAAGCTTTGAATGCACTGAACTTACATGATGACTCATAAGACTTTTTTGGAACTGGCTTTCCTTTCTGTACATGAGCAGCGAATTTCAATTTTCAAATAAAAGACTCGTAGCTTTCATTCCGTGTTCTCTCTTGGTGTGAAGTTAAAATAGTGTGTGTTGTGGTTTCAGGTCTTCTCCGTCTTTCAGTGACTGCTGAATATACGTGTTACAATAGCATGACACTGCTAACCGCTCGTGAATACACTTTTACCCACACGTCTCTTGTTTTCAATTGCGTGTGGTTATGATAATTGGACTATAAAAATATCTACTATCCACATTTATAGACTACAGCCATATTCACATTTTATACTAACTCTGGTTATACTATTGGAATCACAACAAATTCATTGGAACTATTAATTATATATAATTGTGGATAATGGTACCAAATGCAGCTCAAACACGCCAAAGCCTTCTAATTTAAGTGACGTCCCACAACGTTTTTTTGTGTTTATAAATTGTGATTGGTACATTATAACAATAACATCTGGACATGATAACTTTACTGTCACTTTTGATTTGAATAATTTTTGGTCCACCATAAGTGTTGAAGGTCAGTTATCTTGGTGTTACCATTTTCTCTGATCTCTCTTGTTCTTCTCATGTTTTACGGTTATCAAAATAAGTTTTCGGTCCGACTTACTAAATAAAGAGGTTGAATGCTTTTGGGATTACTTAATATTTACTCTTACAATTTATTAATTCCTGGATATTACCTATTATTATTATCATTATTATTATTCACAAACATCTTATGGGTACATAAATATTGTGAAAAAATCATTTTCGTTTTCTTCAAGAATGTATTGATACACAATTTCCAATAATGTTAGCACTGTATTTGCCATATTTGAAAAAGAGAAAAAAATACAATAATTATAATAATTAATAAACAACATATCTGTAATATCTCAATGAGCAACAAAATAAGATTTTTTGACGTTTCGTGACTTAGTGTAAGACAATCCTGTAGGGAATAAATAAATAATAATAAATCAGGTTCTGTATAATCGAGAAAAATATTGACTTGGCTTTAAAGAAGGAAAGGGAGGAGAAACGACAATAGAAATCAAGGAGATGCACAATACGTAAATAGTTTAATAAGCGTGATTGCAAACACAGAACAAGAATAAACGACTATCTATATATCGTCAAATGAGTAACAACAATAAAATAAAACAAAAACAAGAAAACCAATTTCCTATTGCAGTAAGATATGATGTTAGAATAAGTGTTTGTGCAGTCATAGTTTGTAGTGATGCTATGAAAGTCTCAATTATGTGCAAACGATAACCAAATATCAATATGTATGAGTCATATATACATAGTAAAAATCAAACGAGACTAAGAATTTAATTTAAGTGTAACACAAGCTATCGTCTTAATTACAAAATTCAGAATCTAAGGAATAATATTCATTTTAAGGGGAAAAAGAGAGGAAAGTAATAAATACCTAGTGAAAGTGTTTAACCATGATAATGAGAGTGCAATGAATATCGGCCTCCGAAGTAAACGACTAATTTCGTTAGTTTTTAGTGCACTGGGGTGAATATATCTAAAGTTATGCAATCGGATTCAGAGTTAAAGTTGATATTAGTATAGACATTTGTTCAATGATAATTTAGAATGATGCTATGAAAGTCACAATTAATCGCAATGGATAATCAAATATAAATTTCTATGTGTTATATATATGGTGAAGATAAAATGAATTTGAGGAGTTAATTTATTTAATTGTAACGTTAAGTGACTTTAATCGGTTATGCCTAAAAGAATTGCGTGATAGGTTTTCAGATATCTGTGAGGATAAATTGTGAGTATGTGTAAAAGTAAGGGCTCGGAAGTATGCTCAGCAGGAAGCGAAACCTGTGTTCCTTCCAAGGAGACCGGTACTTTATTCGATTACTGATGACTCGAATGCAGAACATGACAGACTGCAGAACTCTGGTGTTATTTCTCCTGTAAAATATTCTGCGTGGGTAATATCATTAGCGGTTGTAAGAAAATCTGATGGTGAAATACGTGTATGTTCAGACTTCTCCACTGGGTTAAACAAAGCACTACAGGACCATTTATACCTTTACCTATCTTAGAGGAATTGTTTACTAAGTTGAATGGGTGCTCCATATTTTCGGAGATTTTTTCAGATGCATATCTCCAACTGGAAGTCGAAGAAGACTGTAGATACTGACATTGAAGACACACCGGGGATTGTTCCAACACAATAGACAGTTTTTTGGTATAAAATGTGCCTCGGTAGTTTTTCAACAAGTTATGAACACTATGTTAAACGATATCCCGTTTGCCAAGGCATATGTGGATGATGTTATTATTGCCAGTAGAAGTGAAAAAGAACACTATGATCATTTATAAGAAGTCTTTGCTTGTATTGGGAAGTATGGTTTTCGTATAAAAATAGAAAAGTGTTCACTTTTTATGTTCAGTATTTGATATT